TCCTGATTTCACTTAATTGGTCCCCTCATTCTGAACTCACCTATCAGAAGAAACAGATTGTCTGCATTTATCCCATCAAATCCTTTTACCATTTCCAATAGCTCAGTTTGAGCCACTCTCAAAACTTCTACACTCAAGAAAATGTAAGCCAAATTCATCCAACGAGCCCTCATATTTTAACACTGTAGCTGCCATCATTATTTGAATTTATGATCTAAGCTCTATCGATATAGAAATATTTCATAAAACCCATGCAACAAAATAAACAAAACAGCTTTGCTTTTAACCAGTGTGATTAATTTCCACATGACAGTTAGATTGTGAGAAACCAAGAAACAAGAGTTATTATTTGAGGTAATAAGCTAATTCAATATAGTTGCAATTTTAAATTAACGAGGTGAAAAATAAACAAGTTAATCAAAGGTTTCTCCAGGGAGATTACTGCATCAATGCAAAACAACTGGAGCTGTTGTTTTGTTAAAAATCAGACACGTTACTATAGGTCTTGCAAATGTGAACAAAATATATCTGATTTAATTTGAAAATTCTGCTTTAAATGTATTTTGTAAATATACCCCAGGGATTATAAATGTAATCTTAACAGGTTATTACATTTTACAATGAAGTGTGGTGATGTACACGGAGTATAAAAATGTGCTTCCACATTATTTTTAAATTCCCCAAATACCTGTTTGTTTTTGTTTTCTATTTTTCTGCCAATTGCATTTTCTTGGATTTCTTCATTGTAGGTTCACTGTATCTTTTTCCCATCAGCTGCAGAAAAGTTCTCCAATTGAGGCTGTCTTGAGCGATACAAGTGAAGAAAACTGCATGTCCAATCACTACTCTGAAATAGTGATTTCTGATTTAGTAAATACCAACAATGGACATTACAACTAGCCTCCGTGGTCTTTGCTACAGTGTGGAAAGTGAAATCTATCAGCTACAGACTCCTTCTCCGTAATGCTGTCCAGCAAGACTCTTTCAAAATTCAAAGATCAGAACTTTGGGTAGATTGGTTTCAGCTGTGATGCCTCTGCAGTTCAGCTGCCTTTCAATATACCATTTCAGTACATACTAAGAAATGGCTTGCATTTAAACAGCACACTTGTGTCATGCAATGTCTCAAGGCACTTAAAGTGTTATCAATGAAAACATTTCGGACATCGAGCAATTGAGAAAGAGATATCAGGAAACATCATCATAATTCATTTCACAGCCCTTTAAAGTGAATTAAGTACAATCATATGCAACATTATAGATCTATTTATATTCCAAAGGTATGAACAAATTTAAGTTTACATAATTAAAGGAATATTTTAATTCACATCTGTTGAAATGCAGCAAAGTAAATCTATGGATTAAGGATATATTTCTGCAGTTGAACTCAAATCTCATTAAGTCAATATCTTTGGCAAGAACAAAAGGAAGCATGATCCGTCTTAAATATCAAGAATAAATGATCAACTAGCACTCGGATTTTATTATGATGGCGAACCGAAGCCAGGACTGGCAGGAAAACAGCATTGTGCATTGCAACTTAAGCGGCCAAGATTTCAAAACTTCAAAGTATGACAAACATATTTATGAGTAAATAAATCCCCAAGAGGGTGCAAAGGTGACAATTGGAATTTACTTACACTGTTTTTCATAATTTCATAAATGGAAATATGAGAAGATACTACTGTAGAGATCAAGGGGGAAATAAATTTGTAAAAAGTAAAAATTGTGTAATTGAGAAAATTAAGCTTCAGATGGAAAAATAGGCAATACCGGAAATGTCCCAAGCGATTTCCTAGCACAGAGGAAGTCTCCTATTGTAAAAATACATCAAAAATTCCTTCAACTTAAACAGTACAAGAATGTTTACAAATCATTATTGATAAATTCTTCATGATTTTCTTTTAAAAAGGTTTCATTTCAAGAGTTTGGGTCAGCATAGTAGATTCAACTAAGAGTTGGGAGAAGTGAAAATTACTAAAGTTTCCAAGGCTTGTGTAACACAGATTACATAGAATTTGCAGCTATTCAGTCCAAGTAAACCATCCAGTGTTTATGCTTTACACAAGTCCTCTGCCAACCCTCTTAATTTTATGATTTTAGCAAAACCTTCTGTTCCTTTCCCTATCTGTTTATCTAACTTCTGCTTAAATGCAATGCTGTTCACCTCAACTCTACCACGTGTAAAGACATGCATTTAGATAGAGCCTTCCATGACCATCCATGTCTCAAAGCATTCCCAATGAAATGCTTTTAAGCGTACTTGAATGTAGGAAGGCCAAATTTAACATTGTAAGCCCCCATAAGTAGCAAGATAATGACCAGATAATCTTTAAAAAATTTTTTCTCTGGTGTTGATCGAATGATAAATATTGGCCAGGACACTGGGATAACACCTCTGCTTTTCTTTGAAATAGTATCATGGAATCATTAACCTCCACCTGAGGCAGGACTTTGATTTAAGGCGTCATCCACCCCCTCAGTGAACTCCTTCTAAACTGCACTGGAGTGCCAGATTTGATTTATGCACTCAAATCCTAAACCCAGAAGAACCTCATGAATAAGAGGCAAAAGTGCTGTAAACTAAACAACAGTTGACACTTGGTTCCTAGAGCTAGATTCCCCACAAGTATAAAAATCAGCTTGATGACTGCCATATGAAAATCATCATAATTTCATAATGGTAAAACCACATAGAATCGTTGCTGCCTATTCTGCTTACATTTTCTGAAGAGGTATTTTTCTCTCTGTCCTGTTCATCAATTTCAGTTGTATTATCTTTCTAGAAATACAGTTATTGCAAGATAGCCTGAAAATGAACCACAACCACTCAGACATCTTCCTCTAAATGCCCCAGTTCTTCAGCAATACAGTCAAGCATCAGTCACCAGCATCAGAAACCTTCGCAAAGTCTTTACGAATTTAATGATTGGCAAAGTCTGAAATTACCACTTTAGAAACCTGCACTGAAGCCAGATCAGCCTTAGTTAACTGTGACACGATACCCTCTTTGGGAAACTATTTAAACCAGAGAGATTCAATCATTAAGATGTCATAAATATTCCTGTATTATGAAAAATTAGGATTGTAGTAATGATCAAGGCATAGTTTCCTGCTGTAATGTAAAGGTGTAACTATTGTTGCAGGATTGCAAACTGAACTGAAGAATATCTCTAATCTTGACTAAAACAATTGTTTCCTGCAAAGGTGGGGCTTCATATAGCAAGTAATCCCAGTTTGTTTAAAGTGGACTATTTGAAATTGTGTTAACAAGTCTTCTGACTAAAACCACAAAGCAACTACATGCAAAAAAATCCCATCTCACCAGCTCAAACAATACAAAAGAGAATTTGCAACTCTTTTTACGAACATAGGATAGGTTAAACAGTATTCAAAAAGCTTCTAACATGCTAAACAAGAAGACAATAGGTTATTGAAAATGGGATGAGAAGAATTGCAGATGGGTAGCTTAAAGCAGGAAGGGTGACGATATCCTTAAGTATCCTTGTTAAGATTTTCTTAAAAGGACAATTACATTTCCTCTTCGGAGATGGTATGTAAACAAAAAAAAATGCATCAACTACTTACAACTACATTCAGTTTAGTTGGATATATGTTAATAGATCTCCAATGTGTTCAGGTTAGTAGACCAATGTGATACATGGGTCCAAGTCCCAGTGCTGTGTCCAAGTCCCAGTGCTGTGTCCCTTCACATCTGCACCATTACATTATTTCCTTCAAAAGATTTATCTTTCCCTTCCTGTACTCTACTTCTCTCCTTGGCTGTATGCCCTACATGTTCTCTTCCTTTCCCATCCCTATTTCATTCTCTCTTCAGCCACCAAGACTTTCCCCTGTAAAAGAACAGGTTTTCTCGTTGCATTCACCGAACACTATATGTCCCTCTTTCTTCTCCTTACATTTCTAAATAGATGCATCTTTCCTACACAAAGAGCCCAACATTAACTCTGTGCAAGTGTACTGTTTTAGAGGGAGTTAAGATTTTGCCCAAAGTGTCTCTTTGTGTCTATCCCTACTTCCTTCAACAGGGGATCTCCTCCTTACAGTCCCACATCAATATCTGTTTTGTTACTCTCTTCTTCCCATGGACTATAGGATTGCTGATGGAAGTTAAGCGTTTATTGGTCAGATATTCTAGTGATATTGATTTTTCTCATTTATTTCCCTATTCATTACTTCCCCATTTAAAGAACATTTAAAAAATTTCTACCAAACCCAACAAATTTCTGCAGTATTAGCACAGTTTTATTAATTATGGGGTGAGATAAAGTCTACTGGGAAAGCAAAGTAAACAACAAGAAGTAAATTACTGTGGCTCACTAGGGTTCACTTCAGGGAGTTTTTGGTTTGCATATTTTGATTAAGAAGCAAATGAACAAAATGAAAAGAGATGGTGTGCTTGGTAGATGGTGGTGAGAGGACCAGTGAAATAATTGCAAACTGGCTTATAGGAGTTAAAATGCAAAAAGATAACTACAGTAGCTCTTAGGGACTGGAGTCCTGGGCACAGCAGCGAAATTTAATTTAAGAAAAGGAGTTTCCAGAGAATAGGGTAGATCAGGAGTGCATGATATTCAAACGTTGATCAGGATTCAACCGAAGCCAGTTCTTGCCCGAAGGATTTATATGGTGCTTACCAGAATTGTCACGTTATTTTTCTTCCCTAGAGTTTTACAGTCGAAACATGACAAGTTCTCACCGTGACCCTTTCTGGCAATCTTTTTTGCTAAAATTTGATTAGGCTGAAGTTTTTCTTGGATTGTATTCTATTTTGCACATTTTGATTCAGTGAAAATTGATTGCGATGGGAAGAAACTAGAGATTTTCTTGCATTAGGTAAGTACTAATTAAAAAGTAGAAAAGCAGTTAAGATAGGAGAAAAAAATTCGACTGGATAAGGACAGTAAATAGATGTATAGATATTAATGCATATATAAAAATTTTGTGCTGATTCACGTACACTTGAAATGGTAGCTTACCTCGTGCATCATGGTGCTGAAATCGTCCACTGCATTTCCTTGTGTTTCTTCCACCTGCAGAGTGAACAAAAAGCACTACAACGGCCATTTCCTTCTAATAGCACCTTGAGGTGGTGAACCAGAAAATATTACGCTATATTCAAAATAAACTGATTAGCATCAAGTTTCATTACCAGATAGTTTGAATTATACAATTCCTGTAAGAATTTCAAGCAAATGCAGTGTGGCTCACTTGAGCACTAAAAGCTATGTGTAATCATTCGCAGAGCCCTGTCCTATGCAAATGAAGAACATGTTCAAATCTTGCACCTTTTTTGCAAGTAGTCAAAAAGCTTGGAGACAGCCATTCATAGGGGCATTCCCCATGGCAATACTTTGGCCAGAGTCAAACTGTCTGTTTTGAACATAAACAAAAAGCTTGACAGTTAACTGTTTCCTGGTGCATTCTTTATGGTAACACCTCTACCAATCAGATTACTGTGGCGAGTAACTTACCTCTTGACTCCCAAAGCCTGTCCACCATCTACAAGGCACTAGAGACAAAAAAAAACTGCAGATGCTGGAATCCAAGATAGACAAGCAGGAGGCTGGAAGAACACAGCAGGCCAGGCAGCATCACAAAGAAAGGAGCAGTCAACGTTTCAGGTATTACTCTTCTTCATGACTGTGGGGGTATGGGGAGCCGCAGATAAAGGTGGGGGGTGAATGGGTGATAGGTGGACACAGGTAGTAGGTACGACTTGGTTGATGGGAAGGATAAAGCCAGTTGGTGGCTGGAAGGGAGGGTCAAGAGGTGGAATGGAAGGGAGGAGGTGGGGCTGGAAGAGGAGTTGGAGGCTGGGTGGGAAAGTTATTTGAAATTGGAGAACTCAACGTTGAGTCCTCCGGGCTGTAGGGTGCCCAGGCAGAAGATAAGGTGTTGTTCTTCAGATTTGCGTTGCGAGTCACTGGAGGAGTCCGAGTGTCGGATGGGGAGTTGCAATGGGTGGTGACAGGGAGGTTAGGTTGGCCATTACGGACCAGAAGATGCTCAGTGAAACAGTCACCTAGTCTACGTTTGGTCTCATCATCATAAAGAAGACCACATCGGGAGCACCGATGCAATAGACTAGGTTGGAGGAGATGCAGGTGAAACTCTATCTCACTAGGAAGGACTGCTTAGAGCTCTCTCTCACCTAGAAGGACTGTTTAAGGCCCTAAATGGAGGTGAGGGAGATGGTGTGTGGGCAGGTATTGCATCTTTTACGATTATAAGGGAAGGTACCAGCCAGGTTGTAATAGTTGGTGGGGAGTGTGACGCAAACTAAGGAATGGTGAATGGAATGGTCCTTGCGGGAGGCAGACGGGTGGGGAGCGGAAAACGCTCTGGTGGTGGGGTCTAATTGGAGTTGGCCGAAGTGTTTGAGGATGATAGGTTGAATGTGGAAGCTCGTGGCATCTGCAATAGAGAGGTCTGTCCTCCAGACTACTACTGTCCTGCATTTGTCGGCGGGTTTGATAGTGAAACGGACATTGGTGCAGAGAGAGTGGAGTGCTGCACGTTCAGAGGGGGATGAGGGTGAAGAAATTGAGGCGTTCGATGTCATATTGGCAGTTAGCAATGAAGAGGTTCAGGGTGAGTAAGAGGCTGGCAGAGGGTATCCAAAAGGAGGAGGAAGGTTGGAGATGGGAGAAGGGGTACCCAGACGGTGGTTGGAAATCTTTATCGAAGAGGGACGCAGAGAAGCAGGAAGAATTCGACGTTGTGGTGGGCACAGAACTCGTCGAGGGTTGGGGGGTGGTGGGG